AACGAGGGAAAACAATTGGAAACAAAATTCAAAGGACGCGTTAAATTTGTCAAATGTGATGTCAGGAATGACGAAGAACTGTTCGATATCTATAAGACAATCATTGATGACCATGGGTTTATAGATGTTGTGATAAATAATGCAGGTATAATAAATGATAGTCCTGATGGATATAAGACAGCGCTGAATATCAATATTGTGAGTACAGTTTTACAGTTTGATACAGTCAGAATATTTAAGTATCAACTAAAAACGTAAAAATTATTTGCACTAATTATAGGAAATTTACCTAAGATTCCCCAGTGTGTTGCTCACTATAGTTAATTTGGACGTGAAATAGTCATAAGTACAAAAAACGGAGTATACATTTTAAAAACATTGATGATAAATGCCCGACAGAACGAAATGTTATTATATTTACCAACAACAAACAAGTCTTCTCTGAGGAATACTGAAATACCAAATCAACTAGTTATAGAAATCTTTTCACCAATGGTGAAGTTGTTTAAATTTATAATTAATTGTTACTGTTAGATGAACGTGGGCGCTAATGTTCTGAACAACTTAAATATGTGATCTTTTAGAATGCCTTAATAACCAGTACGCTACGCGCTAGAGATCTCATGCGCACGGACCGTTCAGGAAGAGGCGGGATAATTATGAACATATCTTCCGCTGCGGCATTAATGCAGAATCGATTCCTGCCCGTCTACTTTGCAACTAAAAGCGCAGTACTGCAATTTAGTATTTGCATTGGAGTAAGTTCTTACAACTTTTGCTATTTTTATGGTTCTTTCGTCAGAATTTGTTGAAGCTTTTTTTTGTTTCATTCCCTCTTTATGGCGTGAAATAACAATGTTGTAATAATTCGATTTTAGATGTTTAAATTCAAGCCGATTCGATAAGATTTTTATTTAATATGTATTTTCTAAGAGCAGCGCAGTGTGTGGATACGTTGGGGTGCCTTACATAAAAAATATGTATCGTCAGATATATTTCAATATCTAATATATAATGAATAGATCAGTAGCACAACAACAACCTTTTTAGGTTCGGACCTCAGATTTCTTTCATGATCATTTGTCAATCTAATAGGCAAGTAGGTGATCAACGCACATAGAAAGAAAGTCCATTGGTGCACAGCCGGGGATAGAAGCTACGATCTCAGGGATGAGAGTCGCACGCTGAAGACTAGGCTAACACTGCTTTATTTCTCTATTATACAATCCGTTTATATATACGTAAATCCATGGCACTACCCGTAATTTTGGTTTGGCCTCCTTCACAGTAATCGTCACTGGTCTCAATCCTTTGCGACTTTCATCCAGTTCGTAAACTTTCCAATAACTCTAACGAATTCTTCGATGGAACCTTTCCATCTTTTCCTTGGTCTGCCTCTTGATCTTACCTGAGACATGTGTCACACTGAATACACTATGACAATCCGAAGGAAATCGTAAATCCCTATTACCTTACTGTCAAATAATTCCACATGATGAACCAGGATCTTAAGATGGACACTGGACATGGACTGGAAGTGCATGAAGTTCCATTACGAGATTAATACCATGTACCCACTTAATATGAATTTCTTGATATCTTCATATTTACCGCAACAATAATGTTGCAATAACTAACCAGTGGCACTAACTTTAAGTCTTGGCCTGAGATTTATATATCTATAAGTCTAGATCAACACTGCTCATACAATTTATTATCTAACTCTCTCGTTACAGGCGCAAGAAAACTATGAGAAAACTGGTGTGAAGGTGATGACTATGTGCTACGGTGCTACAGACACCAGTCTACTGAATAAAGAGAAAATAAAAGCTTTTGACGAAGAATTGACGGACGAACTATGTGACTTCATTAAACAATTTCCTCTTCAAAGGTAACAAAACATCTATCAGTATATTATTTTTTCAACTACTAGTGTTTACAAAAAGTTTGTGGTTGCTTGTAAGATATCGCTGGAAAGTGATACGGCCGCCAGTTGCTCTCATTTTTATTTAAAATAAAAAATAAATCAGCGGCGCTACAACCTCTTTAGGTCTTGGCCTCAGATATCTGAATCTGTTTCATGATCATTTTTCAATCTGCAAGTAGGTGATCAGCCTCCAGCCTGACACACGCCGTCGACTTTTTGGGTATAAGACAAGTCGGTTTCCTCACGATGTTTTCCTTCACCGTTCGAGCAAATGTTAAATGCGCACATAGAAAGAAAGTCCATTGGTGCACAGCCGGGGATCGAACCTACGACCTCAGGTATGAGAGTCGCACGCTAAAGCCACTAGGCCAACACTGCTCATTTTTATTTAATTATTTTAATTGTACTATATTTCTGCATACTTGCAACGAAGTGTTAATAAATAAATAAATAAGTTTGCTAGTAAAAAACATATTTCTGTCCGTCTGTATGAACCTACGTACATTAGATATACCTACATCGCCATGTTAATCTTGTGCTAACTGCAGAAAAACTCGAAATTTGTTGGTGACACACGTTAAGTTCGAATCAATATTTAAGTGTTGCTTTGGCGAAAACAGAACTGTAATTTCCAATACCGACAGCGATAATCCTATATATTTTGTATGTGTCGCAGCCAACTAGCTTAATAAGCCGTTCAATTAACAGCCTAGCCATTAAATAATTAAATACTGCATTTAAAACAAATTTACGCTGACAAAGCCGAGGGCGCAAGTAATTTAAAAATATTAGTGAATACATTGGTTTAAAATAAATTATTCCTTTTTAGTGCCATATCTGCAGCAACGGGTTTGATAGTCGCTTGCAAGCGCGGTGACAGTGGGAGCGTTTGGCTAGTCAATGACAATAAACCCGTTGAGGACATTACTCCAGTTGTGAAAAAAGCATATGGCTTGCTCACTAGTCTTGTTGTATAGATGTTATTTATGATTGCGGTTGTTTTGTTATGCTTATGCGCCTATCTGAATCCGTATTGAGAACACTAAACACTTTATATATTGTTTATATTTGTGAATGTATATAAATAATAAATACTGACCTACCTAAGAAAGATATTTATTACTTCACACTAACCAGCAGATATAAGGGCCGATTTACATTATCTTAGTGTTTAGGAGAGTATTTTAGTACAAGTTGAAAGGCAAGTTCTTTAGTGCTTTAGTGCGTTGCGAGTGAACGTTTACATTTCTTCCAGTAGAGTATCATTACAGCGCCACAATGAACGCGCAACGATGTCGGCAAATACGCTCTATTCTACGCAAAATACTAACTGTAGTTATGGAACAAATAGAAGACGAGATTTTATTCGAAATAAATAAACTAAATATGAATAATAAATAAAATAGCTTCTTTTAAGGCAGTGTATGCCGAATGCCTAGCCTGTTTGTTTTTGTATAAATTGTTTTTAACGTTCCACAAACATCAGTGAACAATATATTCAGACACAAATTTTATAGTTGTATCTTCCGACCATTTAGCCATCTTTAAAAATCAAAAAACACGCACGCGTTTCACGGCACTTGTGCACTCTCCTAAAGATTGTACTAAATTACGTGTTTACACACAACGAGGGAAGATCTCGGGCGTTGCGCGGGCGCGGGAGGGGTATCACTTGAAACAAAAATAAAAAGCGATTCTATTTTGATTCAACTTGAAAGTCAAGTAGAACCGTACTAAATCAAGTAGCGTTTACATGTTTCAACTAAAGTACTATCCTAAACACTAAGATAATGTAAATCGGTCTTAATGTATTACCCTAGATTTGAACGTACGACCTCAGAGTTGACATTGACTCAGAGTAGAATGACAGATGACAAAACATGTCCATAGTATTGTCTTTTATTGACATAACTTTTACTCATTTAAAGAAAACACTTTTTGAACGGATTGTAGTTATGTAAAATAATTATAAGTTTAAATTACATAGCTATAATGCGTTCAAAAAGTGTTTTCTTTAAAACTTGTCCAAATACGTAGTATACATTTGACTATGTAACTGCGAATTGAAGATTTATTTTGTTTATGATTTAGGAAATAGAATAGTATGACAAGTACATGTAAATACATAATAATATGTATATTAACTAAAATGTTTGTAGGTCGTTGCTGATGGTTAACTGCACTTTTTGTAAAATGTAAGAATGGGTATGAAATGAAAAAAATAGTGTCGACAAACTTTGCGATAGGCGTGCGAGTTAGATCGGGTTTATACATATTTTGTTTAAGATTTAGGGAATAGCATAGTATATTTTACATGTACAACGTACTTTTCCTTATTGTTATTTTATATAGATAAGATAGGTGTTAAATTTCTCAATACATTCATATCTGCCCTGCGATTCTGTAACTCACTTTTCGAACTCACACAGCGGTTTTCGCATCGGCGATCGCTCTCAAATCAGTCGTGAAGCAGTCATTTTATGATTTGGCATTCTGAAAAGGTGGGAGCTTGTAGTTTATTGCTTATCAGAATGCCAAATCATAAAATGACTGCTTCACGACTGATTTGACCGCCGATGCGAAAACCGCTGTGTGAGTTCGAAAAGTAAGTTACAGAATCGCAGGGCAGATATCTCATAGTTCATACACGCAGGTCTAATATGTATTGACGTATGACGGCATAATGTCAGTGTCAACCAGTCATTTTTTGGGATACTTGACTTTGAGTACTTGAGTACAGGCTTGACTGGCGGCAGAGTAGCGTGCGTTATATCTCTTAATCTGTAGTAACGATTTGTAATTTTTTGTGGTGACGAATCACGAAACAGGAAACTTCGATTTTCTGCTGTTACTTCATATGATTCAGTCACTAATCACTATACAACACAAGGCTCAATATTTTATTAATTCAGAGTTTGCTTTTAAGTTCTTAGTTGTCATCAATTAAACTGTGTCTTAACTTGTGTAATAATTATTTGTTTAATTAATCCTTCACTCAGACTCTCCGTGTACTGTTTTGTTCGTATTAAAACCATTAAAACTTCTATTAAATCTCAGTGTTGGGGAATACAAAATGAATCCATACCAAGTAAGTAAACAATTAACATTAATTCGAGTGTAGTTTTGTGCAGCCTTGTTTTGTTTATCACAAAATCATAAGAGCCACTTACTTAAATTTTCCTTTTAAGGGACCGCCACAATATCTACACAATATTGGATTTACGAACAACGCTCCACAGTCTTTTGGGAATCCTATGCCAATGCCAGGATTTCCTACAATGGGCTATCCGGCATCCCAGCCGGGTTACCCAGCTGCATCCCCTGGTTACCCTCAATCTAACTATCCCAATCAAGGATACCCTCAGCAGAATTCAGGGTACCCACAGCAAAATCAGGGGTACCCGCAACAAACTCAGGGATATCCCCAGCAACCTCAGGGATATCCCCAGCAATCTCAGGGTTATTCCCAACAATCTCAGGGTTTTCCACAACAATCTCAGGGTTTTCCACAACAATCTCAGGGTTTTCCACATAACCCAGCTCAATCCTACCCAGGTGCTCAAGAATCAGCTCAAACTGGATATCCCCAACAAGGATACCAGGCAAGTGGCTACTCACAGTCAAACACACAGGCATATGCTCATAGTATTCAAACTCATCAGGCTTATGGTGCATCAAATCCTGTATCTAGTACGCCCAAGGTAAGTTAAATCACATAAATGTGCTTACTTTATTTGTGATAAGCAAAACATTGGTGCTATGCTTTTGTGTAAACTTAAACTCTATTAGCTTACATACATTTTCTACAAACTGAATGTTTAATTTCTAACATACTTTTGTTTGTATACTAGGCTGATATCTATCTCCGATGCTAATACAAGACAATAGTTAGACAATTTGTATTATAAAAGTATGGTAACAAAAAAGTTACAGATAAATAAAACTGATAACTAAAAGGAAAATTAACTTTTATCAATTGTTCTGAATGACTCATCCATTCTCATTACATTGGCATAATGCTAATGCGAGTATTATATTGGTTATTAATTATTTATGAGGAAACACTTACATAATATTGCTTCTCTTAAAATGTAAGTTAAAAGATATTCCGTCGTATATATCATATAGCTATACAATACCCCTATAACCTTTAATTTGTTAAACAACATAATTTACATTTGCTGCCAGTTTATGATTTAAATTGTAGATTTAAGAACTAGCATTGTTTATTAAATTTACTAAGTTTATTAAGTTTTATCTCTCTATGCCAAATTGCAGGTACACTATTATAGTTGTTTTTACTCTTAAAAGATTGCGCAACAACACTGATTCATTTTTATGAATAAGGGTGTAAGTATGTTAAATTTAAATGCTATGCTTCTGTTGAATGACTAAAGGGTGAAACATATACTATTATTTACTAAGAAATGCTAGAATTGTGATTAATGTATGGGTTATCCTTCATAAGTTTATCATGAGATAATGTCATGTTAACAGTGTATCTTCAGATAATATCTTGTTTTATTAAACAAAGATAAGGTTATATATATTTTATCAGTTTAAGGGCCTCTTAAAATGATATGACTAATGATACATGTATTGATTATAAGCTCTAAAATGACACGATATTATGTAGATAAGGTTTTTTTCATGACTGTTTCCATATGAATACGAAAAGCCAAAATTTATTTTATAAGATCATGTATCTAGTTAATTATTAATCTATGATTTGATAAAAAGTAATAATTTTTTTAACACATCTTTGTGGCTTGATTTGACTCTCAACTAAACATTTCCGGATTATGGTTAGAAGGTTCAGAAGGCTGATTATCTTCATCAACATAACAAACAACAATCTTGCATTGGAAATGCATTTCCACTATTCTAATTGTGTTAAAGGTCTTCCCACTTTGACGACTCATTGGTCTAGTGGTTAGTACCCCTGACTGCGAAACCATGGGTCCCGGGTTCGATCCCCAGCTGAGACGAACATCGATATGATGAGCATTTGGTGTTGTGCTTAGGTCTTGGGTGTTTAAATATGTATTCATATGTCTATCTATCTATAATATGTATGTATATCCGTTGCCTAGTACCCATAACACATGCTTCACCAGCTTAGCACGGGACTAGGTCAATTGGTGTGAATTGACTTTATTATTTTTTATATTATCAATTCCAAGCTGTTGGACGATGAAAAAATTATCTCTTAGTTCATAGCAAACACCTTCAACAGATCACACATATAATATTGGTGCTATACCTACATTCGTTTTGCCTCTATTCAAGGAACAGTTTACAGCAATTACATTGTTATGCTCACTTCGTCTCACCGCACACATTTATCACAATAACCTATCCAGTCTTGACTACGATCTTCCCTACAATGGATGTAAATCCAGTGTTTTTAGATTTTAAAATATACCAATATTAATGGTTATGGTTATGTGAAAGTGCAGTTGGTTACACTTGTGTTATATTAGTGAATATTTGATTTGAAATATGTCTTCGGCAATGTCTAATTCTAAGCGGAGTACCTACAGGACGTCACTGGGGCGACGTGGATTCAAATCTTTTCGTTACACGGTACACTTATTGATTGTGCATGAACGAGCATTTACTAATACTACCTTAGTATGTATATGAGGATTATATTATTGTGTCCATATACCACTTTAATATATATTATATTTCAAATGGGAAATCTAAAAAGTATTATATTACGTAATTATGTTAACCTATACATTGGATTGTAAAGTCAACCAATAAACAAATACTTTTAATAATTTTGACGTCATTTTCAATAATTGATAAATTATTAATATATTGCATACAAGTAAATAATAAACATAAAACAGGAAGGGGTTTAATGAAATATGATTAATGTTAATAGATTTCTGAGACAGTTATCATCTTTCATGAATTACAAACTTACATTCGATAACATTTATGTAATTTTAATGCTAAACTACCAGTCTTTTTTTGTAAGAGTGTAACTCCATTAGATTTTACCGTATTTTTTCTAGAAAAGATTTTTCCTTAAACGATTTAATTTTTAACATTCAGCGGCGTTGCAACGTTTCCTGTTTCATTTGTACCTTTCCTTTATATGCAAGGTCATCAGCGTCTAACAAGTCCATTTTTAGGTTGGTTCTAACATCTTCATGGACCCAAGTCTCTGCGGAGTGATCGTGTGAAATTGAGAGATCGTTAAATGTCGTTATTATGCCAACAAGCATATAACAAATAATTTACCACTGAATTCACCTCAGATTTAAAACTAGACTAATACTTCATTATCTAATGTTTAATTATGTTGCAGTCCAAACCTACAGTGGTGCCTGTGAACCCCTTCGATCCTCGTGACGATGCGGCGGTTCTCAGGAAAGCGATGAAAGGATTCGGTACGGATGAGAAGGCCATCATCCAAGTGCTGACACGTCGAAGTAATGAGCAACGTTTGCGGATAGCGTTCGAATTCAAGACTTTATATGGAAAGGTAATGTATTCTATGATTCTTCTAATAAAAATAATCAATGGCTACTACCTTTTTAGGTCTGGGCCTCAGATTTCTGTATCTGTTTTATGATCATTTGGTAATCTAATAGGCAAGTAGGTGATCAGCCTCCTGTGCCTGACGCACGCCTTTGACTTTTTGGGTCTAAGGCAAGCCGGTTTTCTCACGATGTTTTCCTTCGCCTTTCGAGCGAATGTTACATGCGCACATAGAAAGAAAGTCCATTGGTGCACAGCCGGGGATCAAACCTACGACCTCAGGGATGAGAGTCGCACGCTGAAGCCACTAGGCCAACACTGCTCCTTCTATGATTCTTCTAAAACTGGAGTAAATACAAAGAGGCGACTATGTACATATATATCGGGTGTCAATATACTTATTTGAAAAAGAATAACTAAGGTTTTTTTTACTTGAACAAAATACTACACTAGTACATTCTCTATGTGGTAACGACAAGGAAAACAACAAAAAAATTCACGATTTAATAATATTAACTAACTAGCTATAAAGTATTTGTATAGGTAAGATTCAGAGTTGCAACTTCACTTATGTATGTCAAATCTGATACATTTTGACACCCGGAAATCTTTTTAGGGTTTCTCGACTGTCAATCATCGGATTGGTGTTGCGCCTATTCGTTGTTTCAACAAGGGAGCTGTTATAGTTTTCATACGTTACAGTTTTGCAATTAATACTTAATTATAGTAGTACTGACGATTTGAACTCATAAACAGACCTGAAACGTTCATGAACAATATAAATTACTATGTAAACAATCATTTTATAGGCTACTCTACTAACTTTGTTAAAATTTTTGTTTTCGGAATTTGCCATGCAGTTTGTATAAGATGTATTACTAAGGTCAAACATACTTTCACTTGTTTAAATTCTGACCGCGTACATCATTTAGTGTACCTACCGCTACTTTCTTAAAATATATATTTTGTACTGCATAGTATGAGTTTACATTGCAACTTTAGAAATCTTTTTATACAATTATATTTTCGATTTTTTTTATTATATGAGAGGGTGATTCAGATACGAGATTTAGGTCTAAGTATGTACTTCTGTATGACAAATCCAGTACGTTTTTGACGTATGAAACTCAATATAGATATATTATATATGCGGTTTTACCTGCGTTAACTCTATTGTAGCGTGTTGTATCCTACATATTATGTTTTTCCTTTAGAAATTGCATTTGATAGCCGGACTTTGAATAAATTAGTTCCGGTTTCAATTATGGCCAGTTTTAGTATATAACTCGGGCAACTAAGTATATATATGCAAGGTATATATAGATATCAATTAATATTATTAAAAGGTGCGGCAGTAACTTTCGTGTTAATGTTATTATGTCATTACCATTTATCTTTAATTTCAAAGACAATTAGGTCGCGGCAATTTCAGTCGGGGGTAAAAAAGGTTTCTTTTTAAATTTTAAAGCAAACAGTTCAAATTGTTTGAAGCAAGTGTTTTTTGTTGTCTGTAGGGTTATTTCTTTAAGTTAATGCGACCAATAATAAAATAAAAATAAAATAACATAACAAAAGTATCAACAAAAAACGAATTAATTATAAACATTAATTTTATGTTGCGTATCTCGTAATCACTATGATTTAAGTGAAATGGAGCGATTGAGGAACTTTACTAGCGGAATTATATCTGGGAATAATTAGCTATGAACTATAAATGATTTTCTATGAATAGGGGAAACTCAAATTTATATATTTAAACGTGGGGAATGACCACTAGAATTCCTGTCTTGCGACGGTCTACATGTGGTGTAAAAATCATTGAATTAATTTCTTTCGACGACATAAGTGCCTTTCCTAACGGGACATTACCCGCGGGGAATTTCCCGATATTATTATGAATTCTATAAATAACAGCGCCTATCTAATATTTTATTTCATTATTAATTTTGCGACAGTACCTACTGTCACCGTTTTTCTCAAAGCAAATAAATGATGGACGATATACCAGGACCCTTTTGAATACTTAATAAACGCTATTTAATGCTTTGTTCATGTATAAGTTCAAAATGAAGTGAGGCTCCAAGTGTATATGTATTAAATTTGAGTGAAGTATTCATTCATTTCAGATATTTCTTGGACCCTAGGATTTAAACAGTTTGAATTTTAGGCCAAGCACCATAAAAGCCATTGCTACTGGCATCCATAGCCTACTAATTTTATTATTCTTCAGGATCTCGTATCAGATCTGAAGAGTGAAACAAGCGGAAAGTTCGAGGACCTTCTAGTGGCACTGATGACGCCCCTGCCACAGTTCTACGCCAAGGAGCTGCATGATGCAACAGCTGGTATTGGTACAGATGAAGATGTCCTCATTGAAGTTATGTGCACTATGTCCAACCACGAAATTCACGTCATCAAGCAGTCATATACAGCGAGTAAGTACATCTATATATATATATAAAATTCTCGTGTCACAATGTTCGTTCCCATACTCAACCGAAACGGCTGGACCGATTCTTATGAAATTTTATATTCATGTTCAGTAAGTCTGATAATCGGCTACTATCTATCTTTCAAACCCCTAAGTGGTAAGGGGTGTCCACCACAAATTTATTTTTTATTTTTTAGACAAAATTTTTATTTTTTGATGATACAGCATACAAAAATACATACAACCCTTAATTTTCATCTACCCTCTACGATCAACTCTTATTTTTTATTTGTTAGTTAATGAACTCTGAGGTTTATATAGAGAAAAATCACAGAAAAACCTAAAAAGTTTTCATTGCGGAAAACCGGACAGTCCTGGCGTAGCATAGCAAAATGTTCCATGTTGGTATGTACTAAAAAGATAGGCTAGGCATTAAAGAGAAGCAAAGATCGCGGGGGCAGCTAGTTTTACTAATATACGTTCGTATGGGAATCATGCTAAAATTCTTATTTTTTTTAAATAATTTCAAGAAGACTAATTTTTGTCTTGTTTCTAAATCGTACCCTTAATTCTCAATTATTTATCCAAACTTAGGGTCCATACTCCATACATTTGTTCAAAATGTCAGTTGAAATTTCTAAGCTAAGTCTGATGTCAAAAATGTTAATATTGGACGTTTATTACTGAATTCATAAATACCCTAAGATTACGTGATATAAATTGTTTACTGTTTATTTACAATTTATGGCAAAGTTTATACAAGTCTGATCAGTCAAAAAAAAAAATGTCTGTACTATAAGAATGCACTTCGCATTCTAGCAAAGCATAGGGAAGTGGAACACTTCATTAAATTTCAATATTTTATAGGCTCAAGCAAACCCCTAATAAACGATTCAGTGTTGGGTATTTGATAATGGTTCTAAATATCGATACAATTATTTACCGTGAATGTCCAATGTAAACAATGTGATGCAATTTATTAAAGAAAGGCAAAATCTATACTACGGTGAAGTTTCTGTGTACTGCAGTAGATATTCAACTCATATGTCGGGGACCAAAGAAGTTAATTTCGTGTATCAATGAGATTTATTTTGACCTCGTGGTGGACAATTTTCTAAAAAACCTAGCTGAATCTTATGTGGTGAAATCGTTCTACGGTAGTTGTAGTGCCGTAGAGAGGACACTCAAGTCATATGTCGGGACCAAAGACGTTAATTTCGTCTACCAATGAGATTTATGTTGACCTCGTGGTGGACAATTTTCTAAAAAACCTAGCTGAATCTTATATTATGGTGAAGTTTCTATGGTAGTTGTTCTGCCGGAGAGAGGGCACTCAAGTCGTATGTCGGGACCAAGGAAGTTAATTTCGTGTACCAATGAGATTTATTTTGACCTCCTGGTGGACAATTTTGTAAAAAACCTAGCTGAATCTTATATTATGGTGTAGTTTCTATGGTAGTTGTACTGCCGTAGAGAGGACACTCAAGTCATATGTCGGGACCAAAAACGTTAATTTCGTGTACCAATGAGATTTATTTTGACCTCGTGGTAGACAATTTAATAAAAAACCTAGCTGAATCTTATATGGTGAAGTTTCTACGGTAGTTGTACTGCCGTAGAGAGGGCACTCAAGTCTTATGTCGGGACCAAAGAATTTAATTGCGTGTAGGTACCAATTCCCTGGTTGCTTGTATGTTGGCGTATGGCTCCATTATTAGAATGCCTAGAGCGATAAGGCCGCTACTCATATAATTTTGTATAGACTTTTAACATAAACAATATTGTTTACATTAAAAGTATTGGTAGACAATTTTTGTTCGTATTATGGATTCATATAAGTAATAATAGTCGTACTTTCAAATGTGCGAGTTAGATTCATTGCTCAGATAATGAAATGGCCTTGAATGACAATGAGTAGCTTCCTGTCACAGTACTTATACAACACTGGATTTGCAATAAATGGGAATTACCTACTTATGTACTTCCCCGATTTTAATACGAATTAAGTTACATCTACGTTTAGTAGAACAATTTTACTAACGTTATAATGAAAATAATATTGTTTTATTGTTAAGAATAAATCTTATGGGTACTTTAAATTGGGTTTACGGTTTTTAAGAAAATACATTTTGGTTTTAAGGCAACCGAAACGTCGACTGTAATTATTAACTAAAAATGTAACAATTATATTTTAATAATAAAGGAAAATGAGCACAATAAAGTCATTTAAAATACCTATGAAGGCGTATAATGTTACTATATTTTACTATTGAATATTTTGTCCTTATCACTGTCATGACATTTTGAATATAAATAAGCCGGACGAATTTATTTCAATGCTTGTAAAAGTACGTTTATGAATGAGATTGTAACTGTCTTATAAAACGTGGTATAAACGCCTTTGTTATACGTTTTATAATAAGACCGTAAGCAATAACGGTAATCACTCATATGTTACCATTACATTACCACTTAGAATAAACTCTTTATTGGTCTGAGCATCGCTATGGGAGCGTTCAAGTATTACGTCACGCAATTATTGGAGATTATTGACAACACCCCCCCATGTAACGCGCCGTAACGTTTTTCTGTACCCAATAGTAAAACGTTTCGTGACCACCGAGTGACTCTTTATACCTAAAAGTTACCATTATGTGATGTACAGTACTGGAAAGTCGAAAATAATGTTAACCCGCCCGCACTGTAACCTTTTACAAGAGGACAAAAAAAATCGTTACGTAATACTTGAACGCTCCCTATTGTACTCAAAGATATGAACTAAGACAACGTTGTTGTTTCCTTGTACGCGTCAATAGTTTCGGGTAAATACAAGATGGTTTGCCAATAGATGACGTCACGTTTCTCGTGACTCACGTCGGGCCTACGTCATTTTATTGACTTTTTCTTCGCTTCTATTATCGCGAACTATTTTATGTCGTATTGGTATATTTATTACTTGCTAAAAGGATGACAATGATACGAAACGGAATGCTTAGGTGGTTTGGTGGTGGTTAGGCGGTTCAAAAGTAGGATATACAATTCAACCGTGGATGGTGAAGTCGGGATGGGTAGGCCTCGTACATACCTGGACCAAATCCAGGAGGTCCTAGAGACAACAAAAGTACCCATATAGGGCCGTTTAAGTATTACGTATACAGATTCACTGCAATTTATCTCCCCCACCTTCCTCTTGTCAGCAAAAGTAAGCAAAGCTCTAAAAAATAATAGTACATGAACGTATTAATTTTTGGTAATGCATTTCGTTTTAAAGCATAGACAATGTTTGGGTAATGTGTAAAAAGGTAAATAATTACTATTAACGTAATCACCAAATAAGACACACACACAAAAGCGAGAGAGATATGTCAGGACCGTAGCAACTAGAGATCCGTGGTTTCTTTGAGGAAAAAGGCGATAAGATTTAAATAAATAAATTATCTTCTTTTATTAAATGTAATGTTGACTAGGACCTTCTCGAAGGTCCCATAGTCCCACAGATATGTGATTCTAGATCAGACACTTGACATAATATATTCAATACAATAAACATAAAATTGGCTAATTCTTGTAGCAAATCGAATTATCTGTAGAGTTATCCAAGGCATGTTCTACGAATGTTTATACTTATAAACTTCAGGGCGTATATACATTTCCATATATGCTGTAACTACTATTAAATGGTTATTTTTATAAAGTTAAAATTATCTTTTGTACTTCCAGTGTATGGAACTTTGTTGGAGGACGATCTTCGTGGAGATACATCAGGAAACTTCAAGCGTCTCATGACATCACTATGCATGGTAAGATAATTCCTCTGAACCTTGGGTGAAACTCCGAACAAAGAGATAGAGTTACCTTACATTTTACAATTGCCAACTGCTGATTAAGTAAGAATCCAAAAACAACTAGATGGTTTCCATAACTCTCTTTTACATAATTAGTCATTTTTTAAACCCAAACAAATTTTTAACTAGCGATTAAAAATTGTTAAATTAGTCGCTACGTATGTTGTATGTTCAGATATATGTTAAATGAAACACTTTGTTTGAAGCTGGGTAAACAACAAACACCACAGGTGGTGGAGTCTCAATTTTTATACATAATCTAAGCCATAGTCTAATAGAGGACTGTTGTATCGCGAATATACACTACTTATGGATACATATTAATAAATATAACCTGGATGTTGGACTAGTCTATAAGCCTGATCGCTCAAAAATTAATCAATTCCTTGATGAGTATTCACTTCAATTAGAAAAGAGAAAAAGGGCTATAGTATTTGGAGACTACAATATTGATTTATTGCTCAAAAAAGACCATGCCACAATAAATTACACAGAGACGATTAATGAAAATGGATATGTCATTCTTAATCGAGTGGATTCATCCTCCTCCACCCGTGAAACATCATCAACCAAAACAATAATAGACCATGTATCCACCAACATAAAAGAACATAATTTCAACTTAGCTATAAGCAGATATATCTAGAATTAAAGCAATATTCGCCAGAAACAAAGCAGAAGGTTCATTATGAAGCTCTCAACTATGAAAAACTTTTTAAGCTAGTTGAGCACGATGTTTCAAAATGTATTTTAGACTATAATTACATAGAAAAAATAATAATTAATAACATTAACGACAGCAAAATTCGAAAAATCAAAATTATAAATCCACCAAAAATAAAAATATAAATAAAAATATAATAAAAGCCATAAACGAACGAAATATTTTATGGAAGCAATATAAATCCCAACCAAAAAATATAGAAATAAAGGAACAGTTTGTAAACAAAAGAAACAAAGTTTCCCAAACCATACAAACAGCTAAAAGTATTTACTATCAAAAGGCTTTTCAAAACTGTATAAAAAAACCAACTAAAATGTTTAATCTACTAAATAGTATAGCAAATAATAAAGTAAAAGATACTAGTATGCCTACAAAATTAGAAATCAATTCAACTGTAATAACTAATACAATAGAGATCTGTAAATGTTTTAACTCATATTTTTCTACTATCGGGCAAATTCTTACCTCAAAAATCTCAAAACCTACAAATACTACTACAAACATAATTACTTCTCTCTCTAAAATAAAGTCTCAAACATTTCTAACAGAAATATCGACTCCCACGGATGAAATCCTTAAAATTATTAGTAATTTAAATAGCAACACATCCATAGGTATTGATGGCATAAGTACGAAAGCACTAAAGTGTGTTAAAAACCTGGTTGTCAACAACCTAACGAGTTGCATTAACCAATGTCTAAGTAAAGGTAAATTTCCAGACAGCCTTCAAGTAGCCAAGGTTACTCCGATTTATAATTCAGGCAATCGTTCTGATCCTGGTAATTACCGACCAATATCCGGTAACCATAAGGACCCGGTAAATACTCACATAAAAAGAGTTTTCTCCCTTACCCAGTTGTCACTTACTCAGGTTTGACTGTTTATGTAACTTAAGTAATGTTAGGTTACATAACTCGCGTAAATTATTATTTTTAACACTGCAGGATCTGATACCGCTTAATCTGGCAGCAAAAGCTATAATCTGACATGAGTGGCTCCAGATCGCTTCGACACAAGACAATGACATTGACACAATGGCTGTACATTTCTATACCCAAACAAGTTCGTGTAAAAATCTTACAAGTTTCTTATAACAGATTACTGTTTGTTTAATAGAAGTGAATTGGTATGAATTATGACTTGTATTTTATATGTTATTTTCTATGATTCTACATTGTACAGGTTTTTTTCCGATTCTTTTACGAAATAATTAGTTGAATCGAATATGTGTCAGGCTGATCACCATCTGAAGGAATAATAATATCGCTAAAAACTATCCTAATATTTTGGTATAACTTTTCAGGGCAACAGATCTGAAGATTTTCATATTGATCGAGAGAGGGCAAGAGAAGACGCTAGAAGCCTCTTGCAGGCAGGTAAGTTATCAATTATTCTTTAACATGTGAATTATATTATATTGTTAATATTAGGTCCTTACATATGAAATTGGCGTATTTCGTACTGGCCACTTTAATCACGATGTTATCCTCTTTGGTAAGGAATTCCAAAGTCAAATTTGTACAGCTATTTACTCATGTATTTGAGCTTCGATTACCGTCATTCATTTGGTTTTTTTTCTTCTGTTTTTTTCTGTTTGCGTCACTCATTTTACAAAATGGAAAACTTAAAGTATCGCATTATTTACGAGAACGAGTTCCGCCGTGGCACTAGTGCTGCGGAAACGACTCGAAGGGTGAATGATGTGTATGGCGGTCATGTTGCAAAAGAAAACACAGTTCGTTTTTGGTTCCAACGTTTTCGTTCTGGAAATTTCGACCTGCAGAACAAGCCCCGTGGACGGCCTGAGACCCAAGTTGATAATAAAGTATTGAAAGCTATTGTAGTTGCGGATCCATCGCAAACCACGTCCGAGTTAGCTGCAGGCTGCGGTGTTAGTGATAAAACTGTTTTAATTCACTTGAAGCAAATTGGGAAGATTAAAAAGCTTGAAAGATGGGTACCTCACGAATTGACTGAAGCAAACCGGCAAATGCGCGTCGACTGCTGCGTTACATTACTGAACCGGCACAATAATGAAGGTATTTTAAACCGAATCATTACATGTGATGAAAAATGGATTCTTTACGATAATCGGAAGCGCTCAGCGCAATGCTTGGATCCTGGCCAGCCAGCCAAATCCAGCCCCAAGCTAAAATTAACCCCAAAAGTTACTTGTAAGCGTTTGGTGGACTAGTGCCGGTATTGTTCATTGCAGTTTTCTCAAATCTGGCCAGACTATTACGGCTGATGTCTATTGTCAGCAATTGCAAACCATGATGTAAAAGCTAGCGGCTAAACAACCTAGGCTGATCAATCGCTCCACGCCACTGCTACTTCACGACAACGCTAGACCACACACTGCACAACAGTTGGCTACCAAATTAGAAGAGCTTCAATTGGAATATCTAAGACATCCTCCGTACTCCCCGGACTTTGCTCCAACAGATTACCATTTTTTTTCGAAATTTGGACAACTTCTTGCAAGGGAAAAAATTTAACTCTGATGGGGCAGTCCAAATCGCCTTCACAGATTTTATTGATTTCCGTCTGACTGGTTTTTTTAATAAAGGGATCAATGAACTACCTATGAGATGGCAAAAGTGCATAGAAAACAATGGTTCATACTTTGATTAATTAAATATATTATATTTAAAAATATTCGACTTTTTGTTTCTCCCATACAAAACGCCAATTTCATATTATGTAAGGACCTAATATAACGAACGAATAATTATCTTAGGGAGCGTTCAAGTATTACGTAACGAATTTTGGAGCCCCCATTACCCCCCCATTTTTTTGTAAAACGTTACGATGCGGGGCGAGGAATGAATTACGCGTTAATTGTTAATATTAATCTCCAAAAATTGCGTGATGTAATACTTGAACGCTCCCTTATAAAAAAAACCAGTAGCGTTACAATTTTCTAGGGCCTCAGATATCAGTACCAGTAGGTACTTGTCTATCTTGTAATATAACTTATTTTTCTTTATTGATCAACCTGTTTAATTTCGGATATGCAGGTTTCCTCACGTTCATTTACCTTCACCGTACGAGCAACATTTAAATGTGCACGTAGATACGTCCTGTACTGGACCTGGGTCATCGGGGTTCTTTAAATAATAGAGGATTTTAATTTTACTCTGTATTAACCCCTCGCGTACTGTACTGTATTAAACAATAGAATAAAAGCGAAGTCGAAGAAAGTGCCTATGTCGGGCTGTACTCTCGGGGCGTAACTCCGACGATTTAGGAAATCGCAACGCTTATAAAACTAAGAAAGCCTGACTGTCCTAAATGTACAGCCTTGGCTGGTACACGTCCTTTATAAGATATAAAAAAATATTGTATTCGTTTGATTTTAAGGTGAACTCCGTCTGGGCACTGACGAGTCGGTATTCAACGCTGTGCTCTGTTCCCGTTCATTCCCGCAACTGGCGGCCATCTTCCAGGAGTACCAGTTCCTGACAGGACATGACATCGATGATGCCATTAAGGCAGAGTTCTCAGGCGACCTTGAGAAGGCGCTTCGTGCTATTGGTAACTTTTAAATATACCTGTCAACCAACTAAATTTTAAAAAGTTTTCGAGTAGATTGTTTTTTCTTGCAATAAAATTTATTTTTAAAAATTGATTAGAAGTTCAAACCTCGCAGTAATCTCGGACCAGTATTAAGATATTAATTTGTTGTTCTTTGAAATTCTGGCATAATTACATAAAAGTTTTGCGTTTGAATATCGAAACGGCTAATCCCTTCTCTGTGATTGGTCTAGACGCTAACCAATTAAAATCTATCATATAGTGTAATATCAAGAAAAGAGCGTATATACCTCAAAGGTAGGCAACGCACTTGCAAGCCTTCTTATTAGCAGTTGATCGTGCCCTGTCCCATAAATTAATTAAATTTAATTATTTTAACAAAAATCTTGTGACTTCAGTGAAAGTAGTCCGCAACAAGCCGCTGTTCTTCGCGGAGGGTCTTCACAAGTCCATGAAGGGTCTTGGTACTAACGACAGGCAATTGATCCGTATTATGGTCACCCGATGTGAGGTCGATCTGGGAGACATCGCCGAGATGTTCCAGGCCAAGTATGGGGAGTCTCTGCAGAGCTGGATCGAGGTACATCTTTGTTTTTTATTCACACACAAAAAGTGTTTCACAAAAAAATACTTGCTACTTGAAACATGTCACATTTATCATTAAAACAAATGAAGAAGGAAAAACAATACCAATTTATTAATGAAAAAAAATTAAAATATGCAACAATAACTTCTTATTGTCCTAGCAGTATGAATTTAAATACCGTTTGTGTTATTAATTTATGTATTTTTTATTAATTTAAAAACGATTGCCAAACCGCAATTTTTGAATTTCAGAAATATCTGGCTCTTGCCCATGTCTGACACATATGATTAATATATATTATTTTGTGACTGTATTAATGAGTAATAAGTTTTTACATTAAGTCATAGCTTAATTATTTCCTTGTTTTTGACCGTGTTTTTTTTACAATCGACGCAAATGGGGCGTTATAAATTTGATGTGTCTGTTTGTGGAATCTTAGCTCCTAAACGGTTAGATTTCTCGTATCACGGCGTACGTCGTTGCGGAACTGAGCGTTACCCAGGTAACACTGAAAATGTTTAGAAAATGAAAAACGGCCTAATGTAAAAAGTTGTTCATTAAGAAATGATAATCGCCGCCTAACATAGACTTTTGCCCACAACGAAATTCATAATAAATCATTGACCGAAAATTTTCTCGCGTTAGGTTCATTTTCACGTGTAACATGAGTTTTAGATTTGCCGCCAATTCACAAATGACAAATGAATGCAATATACTACATTAGGTTACCAAAGAGTTCTAAAATTGAAATTCAAAAAAAGTTTTTCATTAGCAATGTTTCTAACTAGCCAGTTCTAAACATTTTCAGTGTTACCCACGTATATAAGGCAGTTTTTGCCGCGGACAAATACGATGTGCAACCAGCTACCCGCTGAAGTATTTCCGAACAAATTTGACTTAGAGTCCTTTAAGAAAAGAGTACAAATTTTGGCATTGAAAGTTTCCATGGGGGGTGGGATCATTAAACATCAGATGTGCCTCCTGCCCCTTTGCCCTCATTATGCGATTTTGTTTGATAGAAACTTATCAGGATGGTTCATATAACCTGATAAGGAATTGCAAAGCCATTGTATGATTAGTTTATTATCGTGTATGTTATCTAAGTATCAGTAGTTAAATATAATCTTGATTGTTTCAGGGCGACTGTTCTGGCCACTACAAAAAGTGCTTCTTGGGATTATTAGGATTATACTAAGCATGTTTTTTCACAAATATAATTATAAATAAAACTTTATTTTTTTAAACGACATACTAAGATACTCTCAATATTTTTATTTTTTTTATATACATCATCTAGCGGTATTTTAAAACTTTTAAATGATTGTTTTCAAGTAGTTTTCGGGCTGAAGTTCTATGATTGGGAGACATGACGTATATTCTATTGCGCGGGACCTCTCATGTCACTTGGACAATTTACTGTCATATATAATAAAATAAATATTATTGTATTTAAAAATAATAATAAAAGACTTCATTTATGAATTTAAGAAGATCCCCTGTCAAGTGTCAAATGTTAACTGTCATCTGTAAAGTAGTTGAATATCGCCGCGCAAATCGAGTTTATGTCTAATCGTTCTTTAATATAAATTGGCATAATACCGTCCAAATGATCTGATTATTTACCTTATTTTGAATTTGATATTATTATTATTTCACATTTTTATATGTAATAGATTTTTTAAATATTAAAAAGTATTGTAAAATCATTTATTGAAATTCAATTTCAAGTATTTTTATACATATTAAGATTTTTCAATGTTTTATTATACACTATCAGACTGGATTTTACACGCATAAAGCCCCAACTTGTTCAAAAATATTATAGAAATATTTGATTATAGTACGATATTAGATATAATTTTCCTTTTAAGTGTAAAATATCCCGCCATTTTGAAATATATGTGAAACAAACCCAACGAGTACTCATTACAGCTTATTTTTGACAGATTTGGAATATTTTTTTTTAAAGTAACTATATTTTTGTTTCTATTTAATCTCTGAAGCCGTCTGTTAAAGTGCTTATGAAATTCCGAAAAACATAAAAATTAAATTAATTCATTAGAAAATTATTAAAATACTGGAAGTTTGACTTTAATCATAATATTTTAGTATCTAAGCTGTTTGAGAAAAATGTTTAAATATATACTATTACGATGTTTCTATTGCTTGTGCCTTTATCTCGTGCTATTTGTGGCCAATGTGTATTGTACGAATGCATATTTATACTTCTATACTTAATATTATTTGATTAAATGGATGTATTAAAAAACGTTTTTTTCTTTCCAAGCACATTTCCTTTTAATTTGTAGCGGTGCTCAGACACCTTCAACAAGTTCGGACGGATATTAAGCAAATATAATCTGTACTCAATACTATGAAGTATAGACAAAATTGATTTTATTCTGTATTTAATGTATATTACATACAGTTTACATGCACCCAAAACTCCTTAAATATCGTAAACACAAAAAAAGGGTGCGTGCAGCGTGTACATATGTACGCGCGTAAGAAGTTATACTTCTTTGGCATTATTAATAATACATACGGATAGTTAACCTCAATTGTATTGAAGCACTTAGGAAGGTTGATGAGCACAGTTTTATATTTTCTGATATTAATTAGTATTGATTTAAATATTCAATTTAAATCACTTCTGATTATAATTCAGACGCACATATAAAATTCGCACTTGTTCTTGTATAATGAAAACTCGTGTTTTAAATGTAGAAACTCAAAGCATGTGGATAAATATTATAAATATAAATACACAGTGAACAGAGGCGACGTGCGTGCCAACATGCGCCACTAACAGAGGTTCCATTTCTGTTTTGTTGATAGCATTTCCCCAACTTAATGAGCGATTTAGTGGGCAACTTCATTCTGTTAATTTTGTGTCACGGTGCGCGCGCATCGTAAAATTTCACTCTCATCAATTTTTCATAACGCCCCTAAAGAAGTATAACTTCAAAAATAACGAATTGGTTGTCATTTATACAATCATTTATACTTATGAAACTGTAATAAGAATCTATAAAACTTATTGAAGTTAAAAACTAAAAACTTGGGTAAAAATGTTTGTTAAATAAGAACATGCTTCTATTGACAGTCTATAAAGTTATTAATTAAGAATTAAATAACTATTTAATTTCGAATTTACAAAACCCTTTTTTCACTAAAATAAAAGCAAAATTATCTCGGTTGGAGCCAATCTGTTCCAAATCCATGATGGATCGTCCAAGGCGTAATAAAAATTAAATAATCAGCCGCCGAAAGCCACTTGATGAATGAGGTATCAGATATTCAAACAAAATGCAGGCAATCTATTCTACTCGTAAGCCGAGCTACGCTTATTTTAGATAAGAAATTTCAGTTAATTCCTACTGACACCCGATTAAACATCGCGTTAACTACGATGTACAATTTTAATGTTTTATTATTCATCTTCTTTTTGCTTGGAAAGATTTTATGTTACGTCCAAAAACTTAATTAAAAATAAATGGTGCGGGTACTTAGGTATGTACGCGCGTAAGAAGTTATACTTCTTTGGCTTTCTTTATTTTTTTAAAATATTAAATAATTAATATTAAATATTTAGCGTTAATAATTTAACAATATTTAGTATATTATTCAATTATTAATTAATATTAATAATTATTATTATTTATTGTTTTACTATATTATTAATTCAATTTAATAACTAGGTAGGTTTTATAACCTTTTAACTAAGTAACAATAGGTCTTTGTGAAAAAGCATTGCTAAATTTCTTTGAAAAAAATAATCAATACTCCTTTATTTGTTTAAAAGGTACTACAAATGTCATTATGGTAATTCAAAATTCTTGGCACAGCTACTAACGTCACGCATATTCTATTTCTTTTTACTTGTAGATTATCTTATTCCCATCTCGCTCGCGCACGCTCGGCGCCCATACTGATAATTTTGTGTCACGGTGCGCGCGCATCGTAAAATTTCACTCTCATAAATTTTTCATAACGCGCCTAAAGAAGTATAACTTCAAAAAGATAAACTGTTCATTCAACTTTATATGTAATACGTAATTGTATCGTGATTTTGCTCGATTCATCAAGTGGCCCATTCAATAGAAAAAAGTATAATATATATCATTAATGTCACACACTAAACATTTCTATGAAAAAATAAATCGCATCGAGGCGAAGCAATGGCGGTACTAGCATTCGGGTCAGGGGATGACACAGTTAAAGTTTATGAATAAATCCTTTTCCCTTCCTTCACCCTTCTGTAATTATCACAAACTAAAGTGACCGACACAACCTATTTTGTGTACAATAAAAACAATATATATAACTAGCTGATCTGGCAAACGTCGTTTTGCCATGTATATCATTTATAATAAAAGTAGGGGTTGATCGTAGAGGGATGAAAATTAGGGGTTGTATGTACATATTTATTAATGCTGTATCATACAAAAATTCAAAAAAAAATATTTAGGGGTGGACTACCCTTTACATTTAGGGGGATTAAAAATAGATGTTGTCCGATTCTCAGACATACCCAATATGCACACAAAATTTCATGAGAATCGGTCAAGCCGTTTCGGAGAAGTTTAACTACAAACACCGCGACACGAGAATTTTATATATTAGATAAACCGGGACTCTGTCATTATTCATGACTGCCCTTTAGTCAAAGTCACGGGCCCAATGGCTACATAATTATATAAAGGTAAGGTACCTTACGTAATGTCAAGTGTAATTCGCATGTATACGTCTCTCATTTGTATATTTCTTACGTCGTACATATTTTATCCCTTTACAAATGTTACTGTATTGTTCTGAAGTCAGCTCTTTACACGAATTACATAATTTAAACTTCATGTAAGAGAATGTTGATGAATTATTATGTTGAGAGGTTTGTTTCTAAGCGGTTACTGAGCTATTCATTGTTCAACTAATTTAATTAAATTTGCGTATTTATAATTATTAAATACGGTTAACGTTTATGTACATTCTGCAGATTCAGGTGGATTTTAGTAAAAAAAGATGGCGAACAAAATATGTAAAGACCACGTTACAATTGCTAATATAGTATAAAAAGATCTACGATTTATTAATCGAAAGGAAATTAATCATTCGAGTCACAGTCCCAAAGGTAAATATTGCCTGTTGCAAATGAACAGTTGATGACAGAATAGCTGGTATTTGGTGAGCGCCGGTCACGCGGACATTTCGTTTCAGGAATTTATTATTTATTTAATCACCCACCTACGCACGTATACACTTTAACAGAGAACCAATAATATAATAATTACAATTTGTATACAGTATTGCGATACTTATTCGTCGAGCGAGGAAAGCACCAGTTCTGGGGTCACCGGTACTATCTACCAGGCGCCAACAAAAATCTTTAATAAGCGCCTGTGCACTTGAACCCCACGGGAGGAAAAAATGAATACTAAAAATTATTTTATTTATACAAAAACTGAACTCAAAAACTTCAAACAGATGACGACAAACTTTTAAAACTTATTGTTAAACCTCCTTTGAGGGCAAATGCCGAATGTATTTCTTCTTTATATTTTGTATTTAAAGATTTTTAAAAATACCAGATAAAAACAATTATTGCAATGACAAGAACACACATAGTTACACATAGTTAAGTTAATGAAGCCCCTGATCATATAACTCGGAACTCAATACTCATTACTCACCAATCATCTCCTTCCTTCAACGAACGACGAAGGTTAATTTGTATTGTTAGTGTTATTTTATCCATTCACATTAAAAATATATCAGTGGCGCTACAACCTTTTTAGGTCTGGGCCTCAGATTTATGTATCTGTTTCATGTTCAATTGTCAATTTATTAGGCAAATAAGTGAACAATCTTCTGTGCCTGACACACGCCATAGACTGTTTGGGTCTAAGGCAAACCGGTTTCCTCACGATGTTTTCCTTCACCGTTCGAGGGAATGTTAAGTGCGCACATAGAAAGAAAGTCTATTGGTACAGCCGGGAATCGAAACTACGTCCTCAGGGATGAGAGTCGCCAACTGAAGCCAGGCACTGCTCTCGTATGTTCGCATTATATATTATAATTATTAGATATACATTTCTAAATTTAAAAAATCACAACACTGATAAAATATTACATTCTAGACTAGATAGTATATATCTCACTTATTAATAGTTTTCTTACTAAATAATATTTTATCTT